GATCACAATAGTGTTATCACACACTTTACTGTCGATGGTGTGGTACTCGTTTCATCCGTCCGCTTTCCCAAATGATCACCAAGACACAGCATCCAGTCTCCGGCATTAGACACAAAAATTACGCTCTCTGTGTTAGAGTATAACAAACGGTCACCGAGTTTGTCAATCAGGTTGTACAATTCCAACCTAGCATGAGCTGTCATAAAAGTGCTTATGTTAACGGCAAGCGTTTTGCAATGATTTTCCTCAGACATCGCCTGAGATGAATGTGAAAGATTTCAACATGTCAATTTTACAGAATTGATCCTGGTGAATTAAGCAAAAGCTTGTTGATGGAACTCTGGTCAGGGTTATGACAAATCTTTGCGGGATCAAGAAAAATGCTGTTTTTCTTAGTATTTGTGGATGTAAATCTCCTTTTCTGCATTTTTGACAACATTTGAAGGATAACAGGATGCTTGTTGTATTAAACATCAAAACGTTTTAATGTATTCGCTAAACAACTCATTCGACCTTTCAAGGAAATGCAAAACTTCGTCAGCCTTGACCACCACATACCCTTTCTTGAACCCTTTTAAAAGTTCAATACTGACCAGCACCCCAAGAGAGCCCTCTCATCATCCATGTAACAACATCTTGATGTCTGGTTTTCAGAGTGTGCGCAGGTTGACATAGTAGGAACATGTGTTTACCTCCAAATCTGTATGGGATGACCGGATGTTGTAATTTACGGGATGGAACCACAGTGGGTTTAAAAAGCGCATAATATTTTTTGATTGGTTGAAAGTCATTGAAAATTATTATAGAGTTTATTATCAGACAGCTCTTCCTTGATTGACAAAATGGGTTTAAGGAAGTAAAATCAAGATAACTGTTTTTCCCCTCTCGAGAGAGAGACAAATAAGTGCTCATATCTATCACCGCAAGGTCTGTCTGTTTCATTTTGGTCCATTTGCACTCGCAGATGACCTCTACTTTGAAACCATAAATGTTTTGCTGAATTTCAACTTTTCGTCAGACTGTCTTCAGAGAACTCAGAAGGGGAGAACTCATGGGGAGAGCTCACAGAGTGTGGACTTTGTGGGGCTCAAAGTGGCATTGGTGTCCATGGTGCAAACAGCCATTAAATTCTAGATCATACCTTGACCTGGCCTGTTTGTATTGTCCATCTTAAAAAAAATATTGACCGGTTTGCATTTCGCCATGTTTCAAAGTGTGATGAATCTCCACATTTCTTATCTTTTTACACACTCCAACCATTTTGTCGAGACACTAGAGAATGTGAATGTGTTTGTCAAATTTAAACAACCCCAATACAACAACTCGGAAGAGTCATGAAAATGTACAGGTCGATTTTAGCACACTTTAGGAGTTTCATGCATGCTTAGCATTGCAAGATGACTGTTTCTTGAAGTCAAAGGCACAGAGGAGAATAGTACTGTATTTCGCATCAAACTTTGTCTGACCTTTGCCTGATAGGTTTTCATACCCATTAAACTTTTTGTCAGAGAAGAGACCAACATATTCATCATTTTTTGAACTATTGAAATGATGCAGAAAATAGCCTTTTTCAGTTATGGTGAGATTTAATGCAGCAAGTAGACAGAGCCATCGGAATGAAGCTGAAACTATCACTGTAGCGTTGATCAAATGTACCATCGAACATGTATAATTACATCCTTGCATGTGATGATCAAACCACACTTTAATCTCAACAGCTTTATCAGCAGCTAACTGATCGCTGCTCTGTAGATTTTTTTATTTTATCTGTTAAAAAGATTTTAATGTGATTATTACCTGGTGTTAAAATTGCATCAATATTAGTTTTTAGCATTGGGGTTCGAAGGCAAAAATTGATAACGCTACCATCGCCATCAGTGTGTCAAACTATCTTACAGCTATCTTACCCATGGTTTCATCTTTGATGCTAAATCTGTAGATCTATCTAAACACGTTCTTGGTAATAGATATCTTGATATTTGTTTATGGTACCACCATCTCTCACCAATGATTTAATGTCAGTAAGACTTGTTGGACATGGACATAAAGGATTCACAACATTTGAAGTTAATGGCTGTTTATCATCGACAACTGATGGATGTGTTGTATACCTGAGCCTCATGTGGTTTAAAACCTGTAAGATCTTTATCTTCAGAACACAAACTAAGATATTTTTAACTAAATCTGAAAGCTCTCACATCCTCCATAGACAGCAAAGTTTTTTATTTATTTTACATTGAATAGAAAAAAAAAAACAATTAAAGTGAATAAAGATAGCTTTGCTGTTCACAATCAGAAAAACTGAATTGTTTTCAGTTCCAGTTTTATTCAGTTCAGTAAAAAAAAGCATGACATTAATGTTTGTAATATAAGTCTAAAAGTATGATGGCATTTTGAATTGAATTGAAACCATATTAGTGCCATGTATGAATAAAAAAAAATGCATATTATGAGATTAAAGTGATAATATTTAAAAATGATGAAAATAAAGTTGTAATATTTTGAAAATAAAGCCAAAATTATGAAAAAGAAATGGTCAGCACTGTTGCGACACAGCAAGGTCACTGGTTTGAGTCCCAGCGTGACCAAAAGGATTTTCTTTGTGAAGTCTGCATGTTCTCCCCGTGTTCACATGGGTTCCACAGTCCAAACACATAAGGTATAAATGAGTTCTATAAACAAAATTGGCCAAAGTGACATAATTGGCCAAACACAGCAGTTGCTACACAGCAATATTCTGAAAAATACTGTAGTACAAGTCTTTCTTCTGTGTATTACAGGATCATTGGCTTCTTTGAACAGTCTGTGTAGGTCAGTGATGGTCTTGTTTGATCTTTTACAGATTAAGAGAACCAGATCAATGAAAAATTTGTCCTTGAACATGTTTTACTGGTCCTTCCTTATATTCTACTGCTCTTTTGATGTAACCAGTGAGTCGGTGTATTAAGCTGATGTTTTAGCCCATCTTTAAAATGTTAAATGAATCATTTAGCTTATTTGCTCAACAACATCTGAGTCTAATGATCTGATCTGGGCTGTATCTTCTTCAGTAAGAATAACTCTGAACATGTTTTTAAAAGTTAAATAAATTGATACAGAGCTATTAATTCAATATTTAGTCAAACCTACATAGTCTTGATAACTATGTACAGTAAAAACATCCCTGCTCTCCCTACAGTGATCTACAGAAACAGTGCCATAAGCATCACTCAGGATCTTTCTCACATCTTTCATTATGTCTATGATGAAAGGAGTGTCTGTATTAATCTTCTTTATACTTTGCTTCCGAAACAAATCAAACTCTTCCTTCATTGTTTTTAATATTTTTCTTTTAAGGCAAGGTCTTTGCTGTTTTTGTAAAGAGTGTTTTCATGTTGTGCCTTTTTAGAATCAATCATTTCCTTCAGGTCTCACTGCTGAAGAATCTTATTTAATTCTTATTTTTTCTTTGTTTTTAACACAATGTTTTCTTGAAGTTAATTGATTTTGGTTTCAAATCACGTTTTCCACCTAATCGTTATAAAATAAATAGAACACTTAAACAACACAGTGTAGCTAAAAGTCAATCACACTTCTGTGAAATCAAACTACCCACTTATTAAGAAAAACTGATGGACAGTCAATTTCACATGCTGCTGTGCAAATGGAATAGACAAAAAGTGGGAATTATTGGCAAATAGCAAGACACTGTGTTCACCACAGATCACGTCTCAGTCCTTATGCTTTCTGGCTAATGTTTTGGTCACTTTTGAAAGCTGGCAGTGCTTTCGGTGGTGGAGATGTGATGTGCATGTGATGGAGTTCCGGGGGGTCGCGGATGAAATAGAGGATGGGGGTGGGGGTGTTGTGAGGACGTGGGTGGTGAGGGAGGTGACGCGGACGTCGCCCTCTCTATTCTGCCACCTTAGGTGGCCACCTAGGTTGCCTCTATGGACGCACCGGCCCTGTCTACAACCCACACGAGTGGCTCTGGTAGTGCAGCTCATCCAGGATGGCACATCAATGCGAGCTGTGGCAAGAAAGTTTGCTGTGTCTGTCAGCGTATTGTCCAGTGCATGAAGGTGTTACAAGAAGACAGGGCAATACATCAGAAGACGTAGAAGAGACCGTAGTAGGGCAACAACCCAGCAGCAGGACTGCTACCTTTGTCTTTGTGCAAGGAGGAACAGGAGGAGCACTGGCAGAGCACAGCAAAGTGACCTTCAGCAAGCCCCAAATGTGCATATGTCTACTCAAACAGTAAGAAACAGACACCATGAGAGTGGTATGAGGGCCAGACATCCACAGGTGTGGGTTGTGCTTATAGCCCAACACCATGCAAGACGTTTGGCATTTGCCAAAGAACACCAAGACAAATTCGCCACTGGCACCCTGTGCTCTTCACTGTTAAAACCAGGTTCACTCTGACAAACTTGACAGAGTCTGGAGACACTGTGGAGAACATTGTGTTGCTTGCAACATCCTGCAGCATGACCCATTTTGGGGTGGCATTTCTTTGGAGGACTGCACAGCCCTCCATGGGCTTGCCAAAGGTAGCCTGACAGCCATTAGGTACCGAGATGAGATCCTCAGACCCCTTGTGAGACTATATGCCAGTGTAGTTGGCCTAGGGTTCTTCCTAATGCAGGACAATACTAAACCTCATGTGGCTGGAGTGTGTCAGCAGTTCCTGCAAGACAAAGGCACTGATGCTATGGACTGACATTGTATGGAGGTCATACAGGCATGTGGAGGCCATACACTCTAATAAGCCTCCTTTGACTTGTTTAAAGACATTACATCAAAGTTGGATCAGCCTATAGTCTGTTTTTTCCGCTAAAATGTTAAGTGTGACTCCACATCTAGACCTCCATGGGTTAGTAAAGTTGAATTCCATTGATTAATTTTGTGTGATTTTGTTGTCAGGATGTGTTATTTTTGTGCTCTCTTTATTTTTTTAAACATTGTATATTAATTTGTCTAACTCGAACTCTGACATAATTTTTTCTACCGTTCCACTTGTCTCCTTCGGTTCTGTTTGGAAGGTCTGTTTCTTCAATTTTATAAATAGCTTCTCTTCATTTCTTCTTTATTTTTTTACTATCTTTCATTATTTCCTCCATTTCACTCTTGAGTTTCTGAATCTGTTCATCTAAAACCTCCTTTTCTGTTTCTAGACTTTTCAGTTCTTCTCTTCTCTTCATCTCTTCTTCCTGATTCAGTTCTTCCTCCTTCACCTTCTTCATTTTGTCTTTCTCTTTTTCTAGTTTCTTCATCTTTTCTTCTGTTTCTCTGACTCTGTTCTTCAGGATCTTCATCTGCTGTTCTTGTTTTTCTCTCTCCATCTCTCTGAACATCTTACATGAGTAGAAGCTTCCTCCGTTTGCCTTCACCATGTTGTCTATCTTCTCCAGTAGATCAGACACTTGTGTTCGGTCTTCAGGCTCATTATTGTTGAACACATGGAATCTGTTTCCACAAGTTTCAAGCAGTTTTCGGACCACAGATCCAGGTTTTCCCAAACACTCTTCAAGGGTTTTGTCCTTCAGGAAGTCTCCTCTGGTGAAGAGCACAACTGTGAACATTAGAGATTTTTCACCAAACGTCTTCTGGATGAACTTCACTGATTTTTCTTCCTCTTTAGTGAATCTCTGTCCTAAATTGAGCACGATGATGAACACATGTGGTCCCGGCAGAATCATGGAGATGCAGTTGCTGATTTCTCTCTGGATCTCCTTATTACTGAGTTCAGTATCAAACAGTCCTGGAGTGTCGATCACAGTGATGCGTCTGCCATTGATTTCACATGATTCTCTCTGAGTCTCTTTAGTAACAGATTCTTCAGATATTCCTGCTTTAAATGCCTCTTTTTCTAAGACTGTGTTTCCTGTTGAACTTTTACCAACTCCAGTTTTTCCCAGAAGAACAATCCTCAGTTCATCTTCACTCTCAGCTGAACCTGTTAAAGAGAATCTACATTAGTCTTAAGAGATAAAAGGTTTAAAGTTTTAACCATTTTTCTTTACTAATGTGTACTGTGCAGGCTAATTTATCCTCATCTACATTTGAAGAATGGTAAAAACATCTAACCATTGACATAGGTATTTATTTTCCTACAATAGATAACAGTGGTAACAAGTTTCCAACATTATTGATCTTATTCTTCATATATGAGGCGCCTCGGCCATTTGAATTTTTTACCTCGAGACTTCCACTCATTCACTTACATTCAATTTTAGACGTTAAAAAGAAATCATTATGCTGCTTGATGTTTTCTTCGACTATTAAACTTTGTTTGTAGACCAGGTAGTTTGACCATTTTCTTTCATTTATTATTCCTATTAATTTCTCCCATAGGCAACTGAATCAGAAGTTCTATAATAATCGCAAAAACGAGCGCACTTCTACATTTCAGAATAAGATCAATAAAAATATTTCTTTTTTGATAAAAGTTGTTGGAAACAAGTCAAAAGGCGAGTAAATGATGGCTGAATGTACATGTTTTAGGTGAACTATACTTTTTACAGAGAGATTTAATGATTCAATAATCTGCGTGTGATTCACCTTTGTCTTCGCTCCCGGACATGATGATATCTTGTTTTTTTCCCTTGTCTTATTTTTCAGTCTTCAGTTGGTCATCTTTTCATCTATTCAATGAACAACACACTGATTCAGATTCACTGAGTCAATAAAAAAACACAAATTCAGCTTCACTGTGATTCAATGAACAAACACACTGATTCAGATTAACTGAATCAACAAACAAAAACACAGATTTACTGTGACTCAATGAAGAAACCCTGATTCAGATTCACTGTGATTCAATGAACAAACACTGATTCAGATTCAATGTGACTCAATGAAGAATCACTGATTCAGATTCACTGTGATTCAATGAACGAACACTGATTTAGATTCACTGTGACTCAATGAACTAACACAGATTCAGCTTCACTGAGTCAATAAACAAACACACAGATTCAGCTTCAATATGATTCAGTGAACAAGCACACTGATTCAGATTCATTGAGTCAATGAACAAACACACAGATTCACTGTGACTCAATGAAGAAACACTGATTCAGATTCACTGTGATTCAATGAACAAACACTGATTCAGATTAACTGTGACTCAATGAACAAACACAGATTCAGCTTCACTGAGTCAATAAACAAACACACAGATTCAGCTTCAATATGATTCAGTGAACAAGCACACTGATTCAGATTCACTGAGTCAATGAACAAACACACATATTCAGCTTTACTGTGATTGAATGAACAAACCTACCGATTCAGATCCACTGAGTTACGAACACACAAATTCAAATCCCCTGAGACAATAAACAAAAACACTGATTCAGATTCACTGTGACTTAATGAACAAACATACCGTGTCAATGTACAAACACACTGATTCAGCTTTAGTTCACTCTGTTGTAAAAGCAGCTGGAACTGAAACATTTAAAGCTTTAGTTCTTCTGGATTCAACTGTGCATCTGGATGTTTATAAATATACATATCTCTGTCTTTCTTACACACTTATAATGACAATAAGCTCTGCTGAATCACACAAAACTAAATTACTGGCATTTGTTCTTCAGACAGGAAAGAATACATTTAAAATTTAAATTTAGCAAATCTGTGCTGAACAACATGAGCTTTGACTTACATCTGTACATGCAGAATAAAAAAGAAATCTCTTTCAAATGTAAATTAAAGAGTATATTAGTAAGGAAATTGAATACTGTACCTCTTGCCGAACTCTCGCTGTGTTCAGAGATTTGTTTCTGCCAGTATGAGAGCAGAAAGAGGTTTGCAGGTGGAGTCTTTCAGGAAAAAAAACTGCTGTTCTGGTCTGACAGGTAAAGTTTAAGGAACACATTCTGGGGTAAAATGAGACATCATTTGATCCAATGGCATCAAAACAGCTGCTCACTATAAAGATATTCTGCAGCAGAGACAGATGAAGTCAAATCTCAGCAAACATATAAGAAACAACAGCAGACCAAAGACCAGACTATCAAACACAAAAGCACAATCCCTACAAGTCCTCCAAAATCATACAACACATGCTTTTTAACTTTAATGGCTGCATCCTCTGATGTAACTACAAATTACAAGCTTCTTTCACAAACTCTTCCACTGATTCAGTCTCATCGGTAAACATGCTCAAATTTTAAAACCAAACATCCAGGCGAAGGCAAAGAGTTCCTCTGATTAGACACAAAAAGTGATCTACTTGACCTAAACCACACAGGATTCGGATACACATAACCTGCATAAACACCCGTTGTCTTCACCTGTTTCAAAACCATTCATCAACACAACCCTCAATATAATGTTCTGTGACTTCAATTTGGCATAATGACACATTTTTGCATTAACATTCATTAAACTTTTTAGCACGACAAAAGTCCAGTTCAGCACAATTACCATGTTTATTTACCACCTTTGTAAACTCTGTCAGTCAAGTAACTAACAACACAACTTTTCATTTAAACAATGACTTAATTGTAATGTTGCAACACATTCCTGTGTATCACTAACAGGACTTGTGCAAGCACTCCTCTCAGTCTTGGCTACATTGAGCTGATTGTACTAAGTTTACAAAGCAAATATCAAATGTATTCCTGGAATCTGGGCTAAATGAATAAAGCATTGTTGTTGCACTTCTGACATTGTGCCAGACCCTCCGTCACCTCGTAGAGACTAGATCTAGAGATAACTTGATACCTAAAAACCAAGAAAGGTACACTAGTTCCCTTTCGGGAACTCTACGCTGCGTCTCTTTAGGAGACACAATGGGATACCATCCCTCTCTTATAACCTTCTGAAGCACAGGTGTAATCAATCCAATGTAATTGGCGGGACGCAACGTGCGTGTGGCGTCAGACCGAAGGTATAAAAGCCCCACACTCACAGTGAACTTCAGCTTTTTCTCTCTTCACTCTGCGAATGAGTTCGTTGATTTTGAAGCACTCACAGCACTGATAAGGCACTACAAAAACCATTTAAACTGAATCAAAGCACACACTTTCATTTTCTATTTAAAAAATTAGCAAAATGGAAAAGTCATTTAGACCATGTGTACCGCCATGTCCTCGTTTCCTCACAGAACAGGACACGCATGATTTGTGTGTGCAGTGCCTCGGTCAGGAGCACGCACAGTCAGCCCTTGAGGGGGGTGGCTGTGTGCATTGCGATTCACTTCCTGGTCGAGTGCTGCGAAGTCGCCGCGCTCTGTTTGATAAAGAGCCGGCGGCAGGTGTGCCTCGCGGCACTGGTCCCGCCCGTGCTGAGGCCAAGCGGCGATTAATGTCGTGGGGATCGCAGCTCGATCTGGCAGAGGGGATGGAGAAAAGTTCGAGGGCTTCTTCTCCTCCTTCTACTGTGAGATCGAGGTCCAGTCAGCACGAGCTGGAAGCCCGTTCATCGGCTTCTTCCTCTCGCGCTGATGGGCGGCTGCTCCGCCTCCCGGCTTCTGAGGGAGTCGAGAGTATGGAGGGCCTTCGGGGCCAAAATGACGTTCCCCCATTATGCCCCGAATATGATGAGCTGGCAGAGGTCCTGGCCAATGTAACAGCTAAATATAATAATAACTGGGAAGTAGAGAGGCAGGAAGTGCGAAAAAAAGCTGGTTTGTGTGATGAACGCATCCTGCCATCACGAGACAGGCCTCTGAGGGGGGGTCTTCCATTTAACAAAGATCTCCAAAAAGAGATCATTTACACTTGGAAAAATCCATACACTGCCCGTGTTATAAGCCAGCAGGGATCAATATATTCAGCCGTTGCTGGTCTGAATGAGCACGGATGCCGCACAATGCCGAAAATGGAGGAGCATTTGGCGCGCCATTTGCTACCTCAGGCATCGTCGGCGAAGACCCCCGCCTTGCCGTCAAAACCAGTAAAATTAACATCGATGTTAGTCGGCAAGGCATATGCGGCAGCAGGCCAGTCTGTTGGGTGTCTGCACACAATGTCACTTTTGCAGGCATACCAGGCGGACCTGCTGAAGGAAGCCCTTGATAATGATGGGGCGGGGCCCGATACAGTAAGAGAAGTACTTCGGGCCTCGGACCTGTCTCTCCGTGCCACCAAAGAAATAGCTAGATCTTTAGGCCGCTCTATGGCGGCCATGGTGGTAACGGAGAGACATTTATGGCTGAATCAAGCGGACATCAAGGAGGAAGATAAACGAATTTTCCTTGATGCTCCCATTTCGCCCGCGGGTTTGTTCGGCAACTCTGTAGATCGGGTCGCCAAATCGCTCCTACGGGAGCTTCCTTCGACCAAAAGGGCATCCTTCTGGGGCTATGCAGCGGGACCAGCCCCAGCCGTCAACCAGCTCATCTGCCCGGTATAGAGCCGAGCAAAAAGAGAGTGTGGCTTCCCGTCAGACCCCAAAAAGGAAATGGGGTGGGAAACGCTCTCAAGAGGCAAAGACAGTGACATACGGTGGTCCGAGGACCATCGTTGTGAAACGGTCTGGGCCTCAGAAGAAAGTCCTAGCACTGGGACTTCTTCGGGCAGCCCCCAACGAGGAGCAAAGGCCACCTCCTCGTTGCCCACAGGGGGTCTATCCACCAACCCTCCCACCGTTGGTGCCTCAGGGCGTGGAGACCCCCGGCGATATCCACAAATGTTTCATCCCACAAGTGGTGACGTTAGTGGACTCGCCCCCTCTACTGAGGGTCCAAGAGCAGTTAAATCAAGGGCCTCCTGTGGTGAGTTCGCCTCAGTGCCCAGAGTTAGCTACTCAGGGGAACATAGAGACCAGTCTCGAGAGACTGGTACCCCTGCGGAAATTTTTGGCAGAGTGGAAACGGCTGCCGAATGTTTCGCAGTGGGTCCTGCTTACCATAGAGAAGGGCTACAGAATTCAGTTTGCTTCACACCCCTCTCGCTTCAACGGGGTGCTCCATACCCTAGTGAAGCCAGAGCAGGCTCTAGTGATGGAACAAGAAATAGAATCTCTTCTGAGGTAGAGAGCCATAGAACAGATCCCTCCTCTAGACATCGAGTCAGGGTTCTACAGCCGTTACTTCATCGTTCCAAAGAAAGATGGAGGGCTGCGTCCGATATTAGATCTAAGACAGCTAAATCGCTCCGTACAAACACTGAAGTTCAAAATGTTGACTATCAGCACCATCGTGTCACAAATACAGTCCGAGGACTGGTTTGTCACGATAGATCTGAAGGACGCATACTTCCACATCTCCATCCTTCCAAGTCACAGGAAGTTCCTCAGATTCGTCTTCGGGGGCAAGGCTTATCAGTACAGGGTTCTTCCGTTCGGCCTAGCACTCTCACCCCGCACATTTACCAAAGTCATCGACGCGGCTTTGGCTCCGCTGCGGCTACAAGGGATTCTCAATCTCCTCGACGATTGGCTCATTCTAGCCCGATCGAGGGAGTTAGCGGTTCAACATCGAGGTGTTGTTCTTGCTCACATAGAGAAATTGGGGTTGCGGCTAAACCAAAAGAAAAGTGTGCTTGTGCCAGCTCAGACGACCACTTTTTTAGGTGTGCTATGGGACTCCACAACAATGTTTGCGTGTCTGTCCCCCACCCGAATCGAGTCGATTCGGGCAGCCGCAAAGAGGATCAGACTGGGCCAAGCCATCACAGTCAAACAGTTCCAGAAGCTGTTGGGTCTACTAGCGGCAGCCTCCAACATAATCCCATTGGGTCTGCTACACATGAGACCATTACAGTGGTGGCTCAAAACCAGGGGGTTTTCCCCGAGGGGAAATCCTTTCCGCACAATCAAAGCATCGAGGCGTTGCCTACGAGCGTTATCGATATGGAAAAAGCCCTGGTTTCTGTCCCAGGGCCCTACACTAGGAGTAATATCTCAGCGCCTGGCTCTGACATCAGATGCCTCACGCAAGGGCTGGGGAGCGACCCTGAGGGGCCTTCCCGCATCGGGACAGTGGAGGGACCATCATCTCCACATGCATATCAATTGCTTGGAGATGTTAGCAGTGTTTAAGGCTCTAAGGCACTTCTTCCCTCAAGTGAGAGGTCACCATGTGTTAGTGAAGACCGACAACACATCGGTGGTCTCTTACATCAACCACCAAGGGGGTTTGAATTCGCGCCCTCTGTGCAGGTTGGCGAATCAAATCCATCTGTGGGCTCAGGGGAGGCTGCTCTCTCTGAAGGCAGCTTACATCCCAGGTCCGATGAATGTGGGAGCGGACCTCCTGTCGAGACAGGGGTTGGAGCCTGGGGGATGGCGACTACACCCAAATGTGGTGGCGGCCATTTGGCAGAGATTCGGCAGAGCCGACGTCGATCTATTCGCCTGTCAGAAAACAACACATTGCCCATTGTGGTTCTCCCAAACACATCCAGCACCTTTGGGGCTGGATGCCATGGTGCAGACGTGGCCGAGGCTTCGTCTGTACGCTTTTCCCCCAATCGCTCTGCTCCCGGGAGTCCTGGAGAGGGTCCGTCAAGGGGGGTACAACCTATTGCTGGTAGCCCCTTATTGGCCCACACGAGTGTGGTTCTCGGATCTAGTGTCTCTCCTCGACGGTCTCCCATGGGAGATTCCCGACCAGAGAGACCTCCTGTCCCAGGCGGAGGAAATGATAGTACACCCCCGCCCGGACCTCTGGAAACTGTGGGTGTGGCCTCTGAGGGGGCCCACCTTGTAGATCTTGGTTTGTCAACTGAGGTTGTTCAAACCATACTAAGCTCCAGAGCTCCCTCCACGAGGAGATTGTATGCCACCAAGTGGAAACTTTTTACTTCATGGTGTACAGACCACCACCTGGATCCAGTCCACTGCCCTGCGGGGTCAGTGCTGCAATTT